TCCCCCCCCCCCCCCACACACACACACACACAGACTCCCACCACCTCACACAGTGTCCCACATCAATCCATCCCTTTGTATCTGTGTCTGCCCTGTCTGTCAGTTCAAGAGTGTCCCCGAGTGGGCCATCAGCGCAGTGGAAAAGAGCGGCTTCAGAGCCACGGTAGGTAGGCACATACGCAGGCGCCCTCTACTTAGTTGGATTGTACCCTTTTGTGTTTCCGTTCAGGTGTCGGATATGGCCTCTCTGGGTGGGACTGACCTCCGCTCGGCTCGCACGGCCCTCACCACACTGGCCGACGTCGGGCAGGGCAACCTGGAGGTCTCCAATGAGGGAGAACTGGTACCAACGCGGGCCGCAGGCAGACAAACGCGTCCTTACTGGCATGTTGTCAGTCTCTCTCTCTCTCTCTCTCTCTGTGTGTGTGTGTGTGTGTGTGTGTGCAGGTGTACACTTTCCCCAGAACTTTGCGAGCGACGCTCGCGAGCAGATCGATCGCACAGCAAATCAGGTGCGTATCTATCTCTTTGTGCGGTGCCTGGATGTGCCGCCGGTGTGTGTGTGTGTGTGTATCTCCGTGGATGCGTGGATGTATCGGCGCTTAATGCACTGCAGGAATCTCTGGCAGAGTGCGTGGCCGGTCATCTTCTACCTCATTCGTGTGGGCTTCGGGCTGGCACTGGTACGCACAGCAAATGACACACACACACACACGCAGTGCACAATGCTCTCTGCCTGTGTGTGTGCGTGTGTGTGTGTGTGTGTGTGCAGGTGGCATCGCTCCTGTTGGTTTTGCTGACGTTCATCTTCCTCTCGACGAGCACCAGGTCGGAGGATGACCGGGACCGCGAGGAGCGGCGGCCGTCCTATGGATACTCACAGCCTCCCATGTTCATGCCGAGTGAGCGAGCCAAACCCAAGCTCACCCATACTCATTCACAAGGGAGACTCTCTGTCTCTCTGTCTGTGTGTGTGTGTGTGTGTGTGTGTCTGCATCTGTGTCTGCAGGTCCGTTTGGTTTCAACCTTTGGTACAATCCTTTCGACCCGTTCATCTACCGGCCTTATGGGTACGTGAAGTGAATGCGCGGCGTGCACAAGACAATACAGCCACACGGCCATATCGGTGGGGTGGGTGTGATTGAGTGCAGGTACTACGACGTCTACCGAGACCCTGATGAGATGGGCTTCCTCGAGGTATCCAATAGCCACGCAGTCAGTGTGGCTGAACACAGTGAGGGCATTGCAGGCGATGCGCTCTTTTGTGTGTGCGCGTGTGTGTGTGTGTGTCTCATATGCAGTCCGTTTTCTCGTATGTGTTTGGCGACGGCGACCCCAACTACAAGCTCTCAGAGGTCTGTCTGTTGGGTGTGTATGCGATGCGGATCTGCACTGACACACACATACACTCTTCGGGCGTGTGTGTCTCTGTGTGTGTGTGTGTGTGTGGATACAGGAGCGCATCAAAGCGGCGACCAGCCTGATCAGACAGGTGGGTGCGCGCGCGCACACACACACACACACACAGACACACAAGACCACTGTGTCCTCCCCTGCGTGCAGAATGGCGGCGTGGTGACCGCAGAGCAGCTGGCGCCGCTGCTCGAGCCACAACGGTGCGTATGAACACCTGTTTACACATGCATTGCAGCTGCATATGATGGATGTGTCTTCCGTGTCTGTCTTTACGTGAGCAGCGATCCCGTGCTGGACGAGAACTCGGCTTCCTTCGTTGTCGACGAGTCCTTTGTGCTGCCCCTGCTGTCTGAGCTCAACGGCGAGGCCATCGTCACAAATGAAGGCGACATTGTGTATGCGGTCGCGCAGACACACCGACGAGTATACCGATGGGTGGATGTGTGTGGGTGTGTGTGTGCGTGTGTGTGGATGGCAGGTATAGCTTCCCCGACGTCATGACAACGGCTGTCGACCAAGACGCCGTACGCAACCCCCTCAAACATGCACACACAAACAGAGAGAGAGGGAGAGAGCGAGAGAGATCCAGCCGTCCATCCATGTGTGTGTGTGCAGCAACTGCGTCAGCAGATGTCAGACATCGCCAGCCTGCCCGACGACGCTCTCGTCGAGTTCTGCGAAGACCGGTAGCCCTCCTCCCCCACCACTGCACCGCACCCACACGCACATCCATCCATCCGTCCATCCATTCATCCACACACCGATCCATCCCATCTATGTGTGTGTATCTGTCTGTCAGGGGCATTCCCATCAACGACTGCGTGTCATGGTTCGAGATCGACCGGCGCACTCTCGTTCGGCGGGCGCAGCAGTTCTTGGCCGACTCCGCGGAGGTCCCCGTGTATCTTGAGGAGCAGGAGGTTCCCTTCTCGCAGGCGCCTGAGGGCAAGAAGTTCCTCGCTGGTGGCCTGGGGATTGCGAATCTTGTGGTGGGTGCGGGCGGTTTGCACACACAGACTGACTGACAGGAATTGGTGGATGTGTGTGTGTGTGTGTGTTGGTGTGCAGGGTGTGTTGGCGCTTGGTGCGAAGTTCAACCAGATTGCGCAGCTGCCCGTCAGGCTTGTCGGTGGGTACCCTCCCCCCCCCCCC